AAGTGTTTGTATATGTATGTACGTATGTATAGATGTGTGTGTGTGTGTGTATATATGTATATTTGTGTGTATTTGTGTGCGTGTGTGTATATATATATGTGTGTGTATATATACACACACATAAAATATAAATATATATATATATATATATATATATATATATATATATATATATATATATATATATATTAATATATATATATATATATATATATATATATATATATATATATATATATATATATATATATATATTATACACACACACACACACATAAAGGTGTTTTCGTCTATATAAATATGGATATCTAGTACACACTTCAGTTAGCACAACTTAATTTTACACTGCAGCTCAAGCATACAACACTTATAACAAAAATGAAATATTTTACAAAAGTCACCACAATGCTTCAACATTTATGATTTTTTTGATGAATATAATGATTTTAATATATGGACAGCATGTCAATACAAGTTTGATTTGTTAATTGAACAGTGTATAAGAAATATCCTAAGTTTATGAACTAGTGACATATTTGAATTGGCTCCAGAATTTGAGTTGTGAGTGCCCATCTGTTTTACACATTTGGTATATATGAATGCAGATGTTGGTTCCTTGTCTCTGGTGTTTTGCCTCCATGAATATATTTTGGCAAGATTCATGATGGTCTATGAGGCTGTCAAAGACAGAGAGAGAAGAACAGGATCAGTTTCATGCCAATTCTTCTTGACTGCTGCCTTCTGCACATTCAACAGGTTAGTGCTATCCTAGAGGGCTTGTATGAACTTGGTCATCCTCGACATTTTCTATTTAGCCTTCACCAACACAAAAGTAGAAATGTTCTGCACTCAATGACTGGGGTCACAGCTATGAATTATTGAATGAATCAATTAGGGATTGACATCAGTGCTTTAGAGACATTCTACAAGAGACTGTTTCTTTCCTTAGTAACCAACAAAATGCTTCCCTTTAGATGGTGCCAGCTGTGACCTGATTAAAAGTTTACCTGCCCCTTCCCCCTCTCCCCCCGTGTGTTGAATGTCTTCATGACCCTCTGCTCACACGACACTGAATTAGTCTCTGCACATATGAATGCTGTTCTGTTACACCTGATCATAGAGATCCTCCACCATGTACAGTTTACTATAAAGAGCTCTTGAGCCAGGTAAGCAGCGGCAGTCAGTCTATCAGCTTGCTTATTACCCCACACAGCTGAATATCCTGGACCAACAAACCCATGATATGCTCATGATGTGAGTCCCGTCAAGTGAGTGCAAGCCACTCTATGCCCAGATCACAATCATAAATTCTGCACATGGTATTAATAAATCGTGTTCTTCTTCTTCAGCATTCTCAGCTCGTTAAGTTCACTGCTGCAGATTTCTCCCGCCTCAATTGATCTCTGTGACTGGCCTTCTCTTTCCAGTTGGAGACTCAAAGTTTTAACCAAATGAACATTTACTAATTAATAAATGAACATTTATTTATATAATGAGCAAACTATTTAAGATTTCTTTAACAATAAAATTCAAGGCAACCAATACATTCATCCAAATATGATGATGACAAAAGATGACTAGGCAGACAGAAAGAAAAACTGGATTATTACACAAATATTTAATAAAGAAATATTTCTAAATTACCCAAGAAGAAACGTTTATGAAGACTATGTACGAGCATATTTGAAAACAAAATACGTAAAATTACAACAAACTATATCTTAAAATACAATAAAGTGATTGCACCATCTTTACAATTTGAATAAATAAATAAATACACAAAAGCAATACATCATCATCTTGGTTTGCTAATAACGTAATCTAACTGTATATACTAAATTCTTCTTCTCTATTCATCAGATTTTGTGGTGTGAATGTTTACAGCACAACTACATACACATATATGTACCTTTCAGCTGACACATTCATCTCTTTCAGGCATTTATTGTCGTATTTTTCCTGGTTTACTTCATTCAAACACTGTTAGCTAGTTTATTTGATTTTTACTGCCATTTTGATCAGGTTAAAGCAATCCCTTAGCATATCAAATTCATAAAATTGCTGCATCTGTTAAAAGGCTATGTATACCTAACAACAGGAAAACATCTCAACTGAATGCAGAGTCCTACTAAACATGCTCATGGAAACTTCCGGTCAATATGGTGGACATGCAGGTTTACTGTTTTTGGTCATGGCAAATTTTTGCTTCTGACAATAGTTAACCTCACATTTTCAAAGATAAAGTTCTGTTACCGAAACACTGAGATCAGTGTGTGGATTCATTTGGAATGCTCTTCAGCTGTGTCCAGTGTGGTTTGACCTGTGAACTGCAGATGCAGAAAATGGCGGGCAGCCTGTTACCAGAGAACTGGCGAGGCCTTATGCGACTAATTACGTACAAAATTACTGATCTGCGGTAGCTTCTGCTTCTATCGACAACAAACTGCATTTCTAGTGATGAACTGTTGGTGTTGGCACTTCTGATAGCTGCCTTATGCCTTTAATGTGTGTGATTTTCCTATTGGCTCTGCTGAGACTGCAATCTATGTTAATTTTTTTGGGTGCTTTATTATTATCCTACTCCAAACAGGGAAAATCCACACGTCACAGGACAGTCTAATATTTCAGGGGGTCGTAGATAGGCTGCATGCAGTCGTGGGACCTAGGCTGCATGCAGTCGTGGGACCTATGCTCCACTCTCTCATGGGATGTAGGTGGGTTTGGGTTAGGCGAGTTCTAGATGTTTTGGGGTCATTAAAAGCATCATAAAGAAGGGAAACCCAGTCTTACCACCCTCTAAAATGTTAGACTGTCCTGTGACATCATCTGGTGTAGAATATTAATAAAGCACTTTTTTCCCATGGGACAGTGATGTAGATTTCACATGGTTTTTGTTGGCACAGGAGCGGAAGAACTATGGGGTGACTTATTTGCTATGAACTTGGAAGTGTGATTACCTGAGTCCCTTAGAATACTTAATTCCTTTTTTTTTTTAAAGCTGCACCTGTTATGGTGATACATCTACTTAGCAACTGGAAATCATCTCAGTTAAATTAAGTTGTCTTAACACTGCTATAGAACATTTCTTCAAGATTTTCACATTATTAAATAGAACACACAGGAATGCTTTTAAAAAAAATGGAACTTTAACAGCATGGCTCTGTACAACAAATTAAAAGTGACAATGTGAAGTGCTAAGTAGAATGGCTTCCAGTCATTATCAAGGAGATCTCTCTAGCAAAGAGGTAAAATGTTTGCCTTGGCTCTGAAGGTTGTGGGTTTGTTTCACAAGCTGCGTCATTTGGTTCACAAGTGTAAGGTCCCTGGGGATCCTTGCTAAAGCTACGGAGTTCGTGCTTTGTGGGGTGCTTTTGGCAGGCGGTCATCCAGAGATACTAAGCCATACGGAACAAAACCTAGTGCAATAAAGTTGATTCTTTATTTAAAATTGCCCTTCATGGGAACATAGGAGCTTCCACAGTCTAGCGGCTAGACGCTCACCTGTGAATGGGAAGGTCGTGGGTTCAGGTCCTGATGGGTGCTAGATTTTTTTCAAAAATTACCTTGGCTCCCAGGTCGAGCCAGCCTCGAGTGGGTACCAGGTACAGTCCTGGGAAGTAAAGGCGGCTGGCGTGATGCCGACCACATCGATCACCAAGTGTCGTTTGGTCTATAAAATATAGGTCTGGCTTTATATACCCGATACGCCTGAAGGAGTTCTTTTTTCATGGAAGAACAGTCACATAAACTAGATCTGTGGTGGCTCTTAAACTCTTTCAGTACCACAGGATAGTTAAATTAGTTATAAATAAACGCTTGATGCGTTCCTTCGTACCTCGGCAATAAGTTTGTGACAAGAGAGGGGTGAAAATCTACAGACAGTGTTGTCCATGGTTGACAAGGAGTTTTACTGATAGTGAAAATAGACAAAGCAGCTTAATCTGAGTTGTTTTTTGTTTTTGTTTAATCTTATGGCCATTTGAAAGATACTTCTGTATTCTTTTCAACCCATAGCAAAGATTTACAGACAATTTATATATATTTATGATTCCCAAAAGAATTCAGTCTGAGAATATCAGAATGTATCATACAAGATATGGTTCTCTTTATTCTTTACAATCCACAGAACAAATTATTTTTAAAAAACTACAATGAGACTACACAGAGTGACAAAGAGTCTCAATCAGTAGTTCTCAACATTCCTAATGCCGCGACCCTTTAATACAGTTCCTCAGACTGTGGTGACCCCAACCAAAAAAATTGTTTTGTTGCTAGTTTATTTAACTTCAGTGAATATGTAACTTCAGTGAATAAGTGTTTTCCAATGGTCTTAGGTGACCCCTGTGAAAGGTTCATTCAACCCCCTAAGGGGTCATGACCCACAGGTTGAGAAATGCTGGTCTAAATGATGGTGAATGTAATGAACATGCCAAAATTAACTCTAGTTTAAGAAATCTCTTGTATGAAATGCTTCTCCATATTCTTTACGGTGCACAGCACAAGTAGTCTCTTCTTCTTAGCATTCACCTGCTGTAAACCCCAGGGGAAAGTTCTGGTTATTTGCCCACATCTAGAATTTGGTCTTGTTCCTGAACTTGATTTGTGTGTGTACACCTGTTTCACCTGGCTTATTTGTATGCAAACTGTTGGTTCCTCGCCTCTCAGGCAAATGCAGTCTGACTTATGAGGAAACCACCAACTTAGATGCCTTTTATGACATGCTTGTCAGGGAACCGTAGAAATACTCTCTAAACCGAAAAATGAAGCTCCCAACCCCACACAGGGAACAAAGAGATTAAATGGTGGTGAAAATAACTAACAAACAGGCATAATGTTTTAATGTGTTGTTTGGGATGTCATATGAAAACATGCTTTTCTATATTCTTTGGCACCCAGATTGTAATTATGGAAAAATCTACAATGATATTCCTCATGGTTCACAAAAATCTACACGATGGTGAATTTAATGAATACACCAGCATAAACTGCGTTTAAAAAATCTATCGTATGAAAGACGCTTCTCTATATTCTTTAGGATCCATGGCAAAGAATTCTTCTAGTTTCCACTGAAGAGTCTCAAATGTGGGCCGGTCAATTTCTTCTTTACGCCAGCAGTCCAGCATGATGTCATAGAGGGTCTTGGGACAAGCTTGAGGACATGGCATACGATACCCATGCTCCACCTGATGAAGCACTTCAGCATTCGTCATGCCTGGAGTAAAAATCAAACAACAAATACAGACTCAAGACAATGTTTTCTCTTTGGGAATTTCAATCATGAAGCCACCATCAATATACTGCACAATTTATTAACTTGCCGTTCATAGCAAAAGCGAATGGATGTCGCTTAGTGCAGCAAAGCCTGGCATAGGATACCCCGTCCAGTTTGAGAATGGAAGTGGAGGCAGTCACCGCTGCATTTAGCTGGATTGTGAATCACACAGCATGCTGAAAAAAGTGGAAACAGGTTTGCTCTGTGCAGAGTGGCAAGCATCGCTTCAGAGGTTCCGGGTAGTTAGCATCCTTTGGAAATTTTCTCCAGGTCATGCTTGTGTGTTGCAAAATGAGCAGGCAGAAAGACTGGCCTATTCTGCACCAGCAACATGTTGTGAGGGTTCTTTGGCAGCGAGTGAACATTGAGGAAGCACAAACAGATCATAACAGTCTGAGGAGAATGGCGCTGCGTAGAGTTACCATGGGATCTGGCCGACGCTCACCACACAAGGGAAAGGCGAGACGGACATACAATCAGACAGTTACTAGTGCCATCGGAATTGGAACTCTTCTCTTACTGCATTCGACATTCGTCATGCAATACTAATGAATTGACATCAACATGTAATGAAGCACTGGTCGTGAAATCCCATGCTCTAATTGTGGAAGACTTTTCTCAACACAAGCAGGTCTTGCGAATCAAACCCACCATCAGCACGGGCCGTGATTCACATTCTTCCCTATAGCACAATATAACAATAACACTACTTTCTCAAAAGATAAGAAAGGTCTTATTTATAATCAAGCATTAAAAACTGAAATGCATAAATAATATAGTCCTTGTTATAGCATGGAAGTCTTAGACTGACCACAGAATCTTTCTGTTTACATGTTGAATTCTTCTTCTTCTTCTTCTTTAGCATTCCGAGCCCTTGAGGTTCACTGCTGCAGATTCCGAGCCCTTGAGGTTCACTGCTGCAGATATCACCCACCTCCATTCATCTCTCTTGCTGGCCTCTATCCAGCTGGTGACACCAAGTGTTTGCAGGTCTGTCTGGAAGTTATCTCTCCCTCATCTTCTTATCTAATTCTGACAGCTTCAGTACGTTTTTCAAGATGACTATTCAGTGTGTGGTAAATAAACTCTGATACAATCTCATGTGACTAGAGTCTGTGAAAAGTGCTTGTACAAAGCATGAAACTCCATAGCTCTAGCAACCTCCGAGGAGATGATCCAACATATCACCCCACTCACAAACTAAAAGACAGAGTTTGATACTTGATCCATGGTATTCACAGCATGAGAGAAATTGCTTAACTACTCATCACACTGACATCCTCAAGGTGTTAATTCCCTCCTCAATGTGTTAATCCCCTCCTCAAGGTGTTAATTCCCTCCTCAAGGTGTTAATCCCCTCCTCAAGGTGTTAATCCCCTCCTCAAGGTGTTATATCCCCAAACAAAATAAAAAACATTCAAATTACCTGGATAAGGAACTCTGCCATATGTGACTATCTCTGTAAGTAAGATTCCAAACGACCACACATCAGACTTGATAGTGAACCTATTAAAATTTGCTGCCTCTGGTGCTGTCCATTTGATAGGGAAACGAGCTCCTACTCTGGCTTCATACTCATCCTCCTGTGTTGAAAGAAAGTTGAAAAAAAAACATTTTAATCATAAAGCATTTCTGTCATGCGGCGTCCTTGGCTTAGGCGTTGCGAGTCCGACTCATAATTCCAATGTACCGCGATCGAAACCCACTGCTGGCTGCGTGGATTTTTATCATGGATGGGGCGTCGCAGGTCGACCCAGCCTAAAATGGGTACCAGGATAGCTGTCCTGGGGAAGTAAAGATGGCCGGCGTAATGACCACATTACCCACCCAGTGCCGACTGGTCTTGAAAATTATGGGTGCTCTTCCCATATGCCCGATGCGCCTAAGGCGTGAAAAGGGATCTTCAGTTTACTTATTTCTGTCATATCACTACACTAAATAAGACCTCTGAACTTAATGTTACAAGAAGGTACTTAGATGAACAAATTAAAATACAAAATACTGACATGCAAAAGGAAACCAGACCAGACCTCCAGGACAACCCAAGGTCTGCTGGGAATACAACATCCGACAGTCCTTAACTGACAGAGAACAGGAATGGAACAAAGCCATAAAGAAAACTGCTGACAGAGACGTCTGGCGATCTCTCTGGCAAACCTCTACACCCCAAGGTAAAAAAGAAGCTACTAAGTAAGTAAAACATTTGTCATGATCTGATTAACCAAGGGCTGGCTGAAAAACAGCATTATTTCTCATAAATGAGAATACTTCAGCAGTATTCTATTCTTTTTTTTTATCTTCCCCCCACCCCACCCCCACCCCGAACCCACCCAAAGTGGGCCTCAGAACCCACATACTGGAAAGGAGTGGACTCCATATCTGAAAATCTGCATGTTAGAAAAGAATGGAGGAATAGACTATTGAGCCCTATGTGGCACATCAGGATGATGATGTTAAAGTACCCCCTATCAACAAAACTTTTCAATTTAATTTTTAAAAAAGACACCAAATGCTTAACATGAGTTACCATTCATACCTTGATAACTCTAGCTAAACCAAAGTCTGCAATCTTGACACTGTTGTTGTCTCCAACGAGGATATTTCTGGCTGCCAGATCTCGATGTATGTAATTCTGAGACTCAAGATAGGCCATTCCACAGGCAATCTGAGCCCCGATGTCAATCAACTGAGGCAGCTTTAGAATTCTACCTTTGCCTGAAACAGAAGTTTTTCCACCAGTGACACAAGAAAACTTCTGCCTGGCTACAGGTGCACAAATATCTGTCTGAAATACATATTAGTCTTAGTCGAGGTTTCAACTTCACTGCAATCGGGTTTTCCCCATACTAGCTCTGTTCCTGTGCTAGAGAAAGTCAAATGAAATGTCCCTCACTGTGGCATTTGAAAAACTGGTTAACAAACAGTCCCTGAACATTCTAGAAATAGGCTCACGCAGTAAATGTATATTTCAGTTGCTAGAGTCACCAAAGCCAACTGTCGCCACCAGAAATGCAGTTTGTCGATGGAAGTAGATGGGCATGATAAATTGGCTGCACACACGTAGAATTATTACATAAGGTATTTCACCAGCTGACACGTAAACCAGCTACCAGCCATACAGAATACCAAAACACAACTGCCACACAAATGAAAGACATTCCACAGGAAATATACAGCTCCAAGGGCTGTACCAAGCATTAAACTCAGTAGCTCAGGCAGGGAAACCGTAGACTACCATCCATATGTGGAAACTGCATTAGCAAAGTGCTGTTGGCAGCAAAAATAACTTAGAAGCTCAACATTCTGCCATGCCTTACCCTCCATTTTAGGTGAAAGTCCAAAATAAAAATTATGACTTGTCAACAGTCAGAGGTGCATCACCATCTGCCACTGAGCACCAGCAGCAGGGCTCAAAACTGGACGATACCTGTCTGTACCTCTTTGTGGTCTTTATAGAAACAGGTTCCCTACAAAGGTCCTGGTCAACAGAGACAGACTATCCTGTAAAGTCAGAGTATCTGTCTGTCTGAGAGAAGGAATCAACAGTCTGGATACACAAATATGGTTGTGCCCACTTGACTCAAGTCCTGAAATAAGTCTAAAGTTCAGAAGTAGACAAACAGGAGTTCACAACCAGTGATCACAGTAGAAAAAAGACCGATAACATATTAGAAAAATGTATTAAAAAAAAGGTTTATCACGTACTGGGAAAATTTATTTGACAGCATATCAAGGAAATCAGAGATTTTATATTACACTGACAAATTTTGGTATCCGAGAGCATACTTTACTGAGAAATCTCACATTTGTTGAATGTTGAATTAAGAATCGACAACACAGTACTCGAGACACTCCCATAAGTGCTCATCCCCATCTTCAGCAGCAAGCGAAGAGGTCCAATTCTGTTGGTAACAGTAACCGTCTGATTATATATCTCATCCTTCCCCCAGAGTGTTGACCAGATCCCCTGGTAACTCCTCGCAATACCATTCTCCTCAGTCCGGAATGATCTATCAGGGCCTCCGCACTATTCACTCATTCCCAAAGGGCCCTCACAATATCTAACTTGTCATACATCAATTCACCACCAAGTGGTTGCAGAGCCAGCCAGTCTATCTGCCAGTTCATATCCCAACACACTGGCATCACCTGGAGAAAATATCCAAAGGATGCTAACTACTACTAATATCTCATGTTTGATAACAAGGAAGGAAAAACTAAGTTCTGACAACATATTAGGAAGTGTGAGGTTTAACAACATACTAGGAAATCTCAGATTTGACAAGATAGGAAATCTAAGGGTACAGGCAGCAGCAGACATACTGAATGTGCTGCGTTCCAGAGGTGATGAAACAAGGGAGCCACAAACGAGAGAAATGAGAAAGGGTATTAGATGAGAACAAGCATGCGGACAACGGTTGTAGGGCAAAGAAAACAGATATGACAATCAAGTCCTACTACGTATGCTGAGCATGGAGACACTGAGATCGCTGCTGCAAACATGAACAGGTCAAACCAATGTGTTGGGATGTCGAAACGGATAACAAAAAAACAAGTAACAAGAATAATCAGTAAACCATACCTTGCAAGTACTCCAGCAAGCTGCCATTCTTCATCAGTTCGGTGATGATGTAAATAGGCTCATCTTGTGTACAGACAGCATACAGCTGGATAAGTTTGGGATGTCTCAACTTCTTCATGATCTGAGCTTCAGCCAAAAAGTCTTTTGGATCCATGGTTCCTTTGATTATGTAAAAAAAAAAAAAAAAAAGGTTGAAATAACACATATAACACCAGACTGAGTTTTAATACAGACACATGAGTCTAAAGAGCTGACTTAGTCTTAGTCGAGGTTTCAACTTCATTGCAGCTGGGTTGCCCCCTACTTGCTCCGTTCCTGTGCCAGTAAAAATGTCCCTCTCTGTCGCATTTGAAAAACTGGTGAAGAAACAATTAGTCCCGGAACAATCCAGAAATATGTGCATGCAGTTAATGCAGATTTCAGTTGCTAGAGCTGCCAAAGCCAACTGTCACCAACAGAAATGCAGTCTGTCATTGATTTAAGTAGCCGGGCACGATAAGTTGGCTATACATATGTAGAATTATTACATAATGTATTTAACCAGTTCACACGTAAACCGGCTACTGTGGGCCCAGCTTTGAGTGGGCACCAGGTACAGCCCTGGGAAGTAAAGGCGGCCAGCGTGATGCTGACCACATCACACACCAAGTTCCGGTTGGTCTATGAAATATAGGTCTAGCCCTATATACCTAATACGCCTGAAGACGTGGAAAAGGGTCCTTTACTTTTACTTTACTAGAATTTATTTACTTACTTTTCTCCACTTTAGTGATTATGTGGTACATACCATTTAATCTCCTCTGCTCTGAACAGACACCATTTAGTTAACTTTTGTAGTTTGTTAATAACTATTTGTGTCATTCTCAATGCTTTTGCAGAAAAGAATAGTCAGTGCTGCCTGGACTTGAGAATTAAATAGTCTAAGTTTGATGCTAGCTTTTTTTTAAAAAGAGGAGGACATAGAGAACAAGGTGGACCAACAACAAGATGCAAAGATACATCAAAGAAACTACAACAGCACGATGTGTCTATGATCAAGGCGGCTAGAGGAGCAAGAAGTAGAACCTTATATCTCCCTCAACACCCGAAGAAATAAAAGAGAAAGTGTAGAAGAAGATGCTAGCTTTAATTTCCTAGGATTTTAACATAAAAAGTTAAATGAAAACTTGCTTTCTCTTCTATTCCCATCCAAAATATCTCTATTTACTGCCCAATCTGTGTCTCCACTGATGGCTAAATAGAGGTAAACGCAGACATACACAGAATTAACAAGGGCTGTATAATACTTACAGCTATGGAATGGAATGACAAGGAACCATCGCAATCAGCCAGAGTACTTCGTACATACTTGAAAATGACTTACTTACTAGTTGTCCAGAATTCAAAGCCAGACATTCAATGGAGGGTTTTTCTGATGGTACGAAACAGTACACAGTATCGACACTGTTTCTGTGCATCATGTATTCTTCAGTACTACTGTAACATGACTCTGTAAAGAGTACAGGCACTTTTTAAAGACACTTTGTGGTGAGACTTGCACCTTTTTCCCCTAGAAATAAAAAAGCTCTGGTTCGATGTAATAAGTAAAATCATTTTTCTGACTACAAAATAAGTAAGTAAAGAACCCTTTTCCATGCCTTTAGGCGTATAGGGCATATAGGGCTAGACCTATATTTTATAGACCAATCGGCACAAGATGGGTGATGTGGTCAGCATCACACAGGCCGTCTTTACTTCCCAGGACTGCACCCGGTACCCACACATGGGAGCCAAGGACATTTTTTTTTAAAAGTCTGGCTCCGCCAGGGGCGAACCCACGACCTTCCGATCCGTGGCGAGTGTCTAGCCGCTCCGCCGCGGCGACTCCACCTACAAAATAAATGCCAAGCTTTTCATAAGCAAGCAATGTTTCATAAAACTAAATGTTTACCTGGTTTGAGAGTTTTAATAGCCACAGGTGTTGTATTGTTCCATAAACCCTCCCACACTTCTCCAAACTGGCCATGTCCAATTTTACGAATGAGCTTCAGCGATGTCTTTGAGATTTCCCACTGATCTTTGGTGTTGTAGGACAGTCCAAAAGTTTGAGGCTTCTCAACCTGTGCTCGTAAGAGAATAAATATGTCAATTCTTACATTTAGTTGCATTAAACAAAATTATCTCTAAACAAATATCACAGGTGCTTAAAAAAAAAAAAAGAGGCTCAGCAACTGCTATGCAAATTTTTCATCAGGACATGATCACGAAGTTGCACTGCACCCTTTTGTCAAGTCTGTGGCTCAGTAAATCTGATTTCTACAGGAGTTTTGGTGATTTACTTCCCTAGCCCTTTCAGTGTCCCCAGCAAGGAATGAGGCTGTAAGTTTATGCACTTTTTTATCTAGTGCCTATACCATGGCCTATCCTATAACTCTTGGGGGTCAATGAATCACCATAGTTCCTCTACCATGGCTTATCCTATAACTCTTGGGGGTCAATGAATCACCACAGTTCCTCTACCATGGCTTATCCTATAACTCTTGGGGTCACTGAAACACCCTAGTTCCTCTACCCTGGCCTATCCTATAACTCTTGGGGTCACTGAAACACCCCAGTTCCTTTACCCTGGTCTATTCTATAACTCTTGGGGGTCACTGAAACATCCCATTTCTCTACCATGGCCTATCCTATAACTTTTGGGGTCACTGAAACACCCCAGTTCCTCTACCATGGCCTATCCTATAACTTTTAAAAAGGAAGCTGGCATTTTGTGTTGTGGTTCACAGCTAGGCTGTGATTTCTGTGATTTTTAGTCAAATTAAAAAAAATACATTTGTCGTCACCATTTAAGACTTGCTTATAAAGAAGCAGTCAGCTGACCCCTCTCCCCCCCCCCCTCTCCTTTCCAACCAATAGGGCCTCGGAATCCACACTGAGAAATAAGGAAACAAACACACGACCATCCGAAGTGTCTGAGCCACTGCTCAATCCCGGCTACCAAAATTCTCTTCACACAATCAACAGATTCACTCACATACACACAAGATAAATGCAGCAACCTTACCTGTGAACATGCCTTTCTAAGATTCACACACAAACCATCTGAATCACTGCTGTAATGTTCTACCAGATCCGCTAGAGTCCGGAATGTGATTCGCCTAGCTATAAAAAAGCCTCCTTCATCCAGCTGCCGGATTCGGTAATGTTTAACAGTGTCACCATCTCTTACTGCAAACCAAGAAATTATTATCATATCAACACTTGGAATATATGAAGATTATGGGTTCAAATCTGAATGCAGCCAGCCAATTCTGGAAAAAGACCTTGACCCCCCTTAGTTGACCCAGCCTTAAATGGGTACCAGGTAAAGTCCTGGGAAGTCTGAAAGGCCATGGTGATGCTGACCACATCACCAACGGAGTGCCGAATCGACTGGTCTATAAAATATAAGTCTTAGTACTTTATGCCTGTGATGCCTGAAGGCGTGAAAAAGGGTCTTTTACTTGACTATTTACTTGTAAAGTCCTATGCATCTGTTTTTGTTCTATTAAATTTCAGTGAAGGATCATTTCCTTATACATGGAGATTTCCATAGGAACTTTAATCTTCTTCCATTGGCATATGCTCTGGAACTTGGGGCTTCACCCCCTTTAGTGTGTGCCCCCTCCCCCCCCCCCCCCCCCCACAGATAATGGGTAATGATACTATAATACTACACCATTTATCCATCTCTTTCTTGGTCTTCCTCTCACCTTCCTCCCACATATTATGATATAAAGTTTCATCTGCAGTTTGATCTAGCAGCATTATCAGTAAATGGCCCAACCATTTCATTCTTTGTCTGTCAATATAATCAACATTTGATCTTATTCAAAATTTCTTTCTAATGCTGGTATTGATAACCCTGTCTCGTCTAGTGTTGTCAGTGACCCTGCTGAAACAGTGCATTTTTACATGTAGTTATTTTTCTGTTCTTGTGCCCTTTCTGGTGTTTAATAGTGTAGTATTCCACCCCTTGTAAATGGTCTGATGTCACTAGTTTTCAATGAGACCCAGCATTCCAAAATACTCAGATGCTGGAGCACATGATTAATTTTCTAACATGTTTTCAATGGATAAGTTATTACACCTGTTACCTAGGGCTCTATCAGGGTGCACCTCTCAACTTTTTTGGTTTTTGACCAAATGGTCAAAAGATCTTGGTTTTAGGCAGTGCTAATCCTTCTAATGTACATCAGAGTGACACTTGTGAATACTGTTTTGTTTGTTAGCATTCATCAGCTATAAACCCCGACTTTGGCTTTGTTCCAGGACCTGAGTTCTGGGTGTGCATCTGTTTTACAGATCTGTATGCAGACTGTTGGTTCCTTGCCTTTTAGGCAGATGCACTCCGACTTTGGAAAAAAATCAGTTGACTCTTACGACCTGCTTGTTGAGGAGGCAGTGGGTCTATTCTTGTTTTCCCCACAATGGGGCCCAGGAACCCACACAGGGAGCTTGTGAATAAGCAAACAAACACTTCTACAATGCAGGTAAGTAAAACAGTTTTGTCTTTTCTGAAAACTTTCATGGCTTTAACATACCTGACAAGGAGTAATCATTTCTGCGACTTTCACTGTCTCGAATTAAAAATGCACCATGCTCATTTTCTGGTGACAGAAGTTTCTTTTCAGCCTCTACCCTTTTGATTTTTCCAAAATACCATCTGCAGAAGACATTTTTTAAATGAAAACCATTAACATCTGCAGTAACACATCATCATCAAACAAGGTGCATATAAAGATGACAAAATGTAAACATAAATGTTAATAATGTATCCTTTACATCATGTTGCAGGACCAACTACAGTCTATTTTGTTGGCTGTTTTGAGATTTTACTAATGTATCAAACTAAATAAGAGTGTCACTGACTGTACTGATATCTTATTCTTCTTTTTTTCACCGGCTATAAACTCCAATGGAAAGTTCTGGTCGATCACCCACTTCTGGGCTTAAGTCTTGTTCCATCTCCTGCTGTTCAAAGTAAGACCTTTATGACTTTCTGTTAAATTATGCCCATAATTTTTTGCAGATGTATGTATTTCTCAGCAATCAAACCCATACACTGTCAGCATATCACAGGTTATTTACACTATACCCACCAAGTGATATTCCTGGCACACCTTACTTGTATAAATTTCATTACTGTTTCACTATAATAAATTAAATAAACTGGGTGATAGTTATGTACACATTCCTGTCTAATGCTTTGTTTAATGTGCTGAAAAGTTCCCACCTGACTTTCAATTGATACTGCTGCTACTTGTTGTCAGTGTATGTTTTTAATTATTCTCTCAGATCTTTGCCATCAATATTTAAGTTTCAAACACTTGAATAATGTCATCATGTTTCCTCTTGTCAAATCCTTTAGTGCAATTACGCTAAATGTTGAAGTAAGAATCAACATCACAACACCTGGGACATTCTCATGAGCACCCCATCACGAGGTAGACAATATGGTTATGTTCAGAATAACGGTCCCAAATTATCGAGGCTAAGAAAAATACCCTTACAGGGCCCCAGTCATATGTATATTGCGGACCTCTTTCCGGTGACTATACCACATACCGCGGAAAAGCTTCCACCGAGTTAAAATCACAGCCGAGAGTTTCCACTGTGCCGCTATGTGCGCCGGGGGAAGGGTGCTCTAACTAGATGGCTGGGACTCACGAGCAGCAGCTACCGCATCTTCTGCTGCTTTCTCCATTTTATCTGGTCGTGAGTCCCAGCCATCTACTTTAGCCACCCTCCACACCATGCGTAGCGGCGCGGGGGATACTCTTGGCGGTGACGGTATAGTCGCCGGAAAGAGGTCAGCAATTTACATATGACTGAAGACCTGTTAGGGTATTTTCCTAGCCTCGATAATTTGGGACCGTTATTCGGAAGATAGTCGACAATATTATTACACAAGTAGGAAGATAACATCGGCCAGAGACTGAAGAACAGCATTGCACTGACTTTTGAATTTGATTCTGCTCATTGCAGCTAACCTTCATAAACTTCATTGTGAAGAAAGTCTTGAGGAAACACTGATCTGAGGACACACGACAATAATCTAGCTTTACACATGATAATGAATCTAGCTTTAAAAATGATAAAATTGTATAGTTCAACTTACGCTTCAGATTCCAGACTTTTCAGTTTGGCAACATAATTGGAAGGAATATAGCCTTCCTTTTTGGTAGCTTTTGATCGAGCATACCACCAGTCTCCTTGTGTATCATTGATTATTTCTAGATGTTCCCCTTTTCTAAATGAAAGGTCTTCATCGGTCCGAGCGTCATAATCATACAAAGCAATAAACACTTTAAGTGGGCCAAAATTTGTAACTTCGACCGTTGTTTCTGTTTTATGCTGTGGCGACTGGTTCAACGGAGAAGCACTTCCACGTGAATTATTTGTGTTCGCTGCTGAAGACAGTGTCTTGGAGATAATTCCATTTTCTGTTGTGCTCGGTCTGTGAGATGGTGATGGATCGACGGCACTGCTGTGAGGCACTGGTTCCGTGTGAGATCCCCCGAAACAGTTACCCATTTTAAATTTACGTGAAAGTGCTGTTAGGTATACTTATTACAAGTGAGATTTAACCATCAGCTCCGTTTTGGACATCAGCCACTGTATCGACGGCTTCCGCCATGTTTCTTGCGATTATTTGTTGTCTGCAACACTTGTCTCTGCTGTATCCAAGAGTTTATTTATTTTTTAATTAAAAAATTATTTGTTAGCAGTCTGAATAAAATTTAAATGATTAAAACAACTATTGATGTTCTAGAAAATCAAATATGAGTTGTATACTTTATTCTATGACACTAGAGGTTGGGATTATTTTGTCACGTCGGTGCAACACATTGTATAATTATCAAGTGATAAGAGTTTCTATTGGTTTCTCAACCCGGAAATAATGACATCCAAAGGTCAGATGTCCAATCAACGCTAGTGTCTTATACAGTGTTGGAGTACACTAGTGCGTTGAATGGGGAAAGCACATTTTTCCGCATTTTGCACTGCGAATAGAAACATGACGAACAAAATCAGGAGTACTGAATGAAGCCTTCTCCTTGTGCGTTCTAGGGATCCTTTTATGGGGGAAACATGAAAAGACTCATACCCTTCATAAAAAGCATGTCGTAAGAGTCGACTAATTAACGATTTCATTGGAAGTCGAACTGCATCTGCTTCAGAAGCGAGAAAGCAACAGTCTGCATACAATAAGCCGAATCTGTTAAACGGATATGCACGCAAAACATATTCTGGAACAAGACTAAAGTTCAGAAGTGCACCAACAACCAGAATTTGTCGCCGGATTTTACAGCGTAGAAGAAAAATGAAGCCTGGAATGCAGAGGTGCTGAACCCAATGTGATGATGCGCTTGCTCATACTTCATACTGGTCAGTACCCATCTACCCCTTTTCGCGGTCACCCTTCTGTCACAAATAGTTATACCATGAGGTCAGTAGCCACAATGAAAGCTATTCGGCACCCATTTCAAACGTAACGATGCTTGCCACTCTGCATGAAGCATGCCTGTTATCATCTTTCTTAAAAAATTTTTGTGGAGTCAATTGCAATCATGACATGTGTGTGCAGCTGATTTTCAAGCCAGCGGAAAGCTGGTGTGACTGTCTCCACTATTCTCAAACTAGATGTTATAGAAACTAGATGTTAAAGTACCATTCACTAGACTTTGTTGCCCTAAGTGTCGTCCATTCTCTTTCGTCGTCATCTTGGAATTATCATGAAACAATTTGTTGTATGTATGACTGTGCAATGCCTGCTGGCTAATCCCTGCACTCCAGCTATGTGCGATTAGAACGCAATTATATTTTATTGATACTTTGACCTACTTCTTGCCTCGCAATCTTGACCAGAAGTCAAGCAAGTATGAGAGTAGGAACAATGTTCAACACAATATTATTACCAATGTTATGATGACAATGTCAAAATGGACCCTGTCTTCATATGACAGCAGGAAAATGGTCACGACAAAAATGAAATGTTTGCGTACTATCCTAGATGTAACGCGGATCCTAAGAAACAATTATATCAGGAGTGGTGTCGGCACAGAATCAATGCTGAACTTTAGAGACAAATCAAATGGTTTGGCCATTTAACAAGATTGCCATCAGACAGAGGGCAATGTAGATACAGCGGTAACAGAGTCAGAGGTCGACCCACGCAGAACATAAACTGCATAAATATCATAAACACCGAAAAGTACTTTATACAAAGCAAACAGAAGGGACCGTTCCAAAGATCTCTTCCTGTCCTGAAGCATTCCAGGTGTTGAGAAAAGAAGCCCTACCAGTTTCGTTTTCCAATTTTCTTTGCAGCAAACACATCTCTAATTGTTGTTGTTGTTTTTTTTTTTTTTTTTTTTTGTTGCTTGGGACATCCACGACTTCCCTCTAATCAGCATGTGACCCTTATCTGTATTCAGGGCTTCACCAAAAAGGTGGTTTTTGTCAGCTGCTACCTCGAGGTATGACATAGTTGACATGGCCTGTCAGTAATAGTTGGCAGTGCAAGGTTGTAACGAAAACAGACTACTGGGGTGAATCACCTGCATGGCTTCATTCTGTATGTGTTCAAGCTTTGCTTCATGTCCCTTTCTGCCATTATTTTCAGTGCATTGAGCTCCTTTTGGCATTTTGCTGGAACGGCCTCCACACGGTCCCTGAATGATAGGCTCCTATTTAAGGTGACACACAGGTACGCTAGTTTGCCTTTTCTTTTAATGTTTCTGTTTATTTTGAAATTTGGGTCATCAACTCTAAAAATTATATTGTCCAGAGAGGACCATAAAGCCTCCACTTTTTCTTTTCTCTGCCTATTTGCAAGAATATCATCTGCAAATGTCAATACCTTTCCCAAACGCGCGCTTTAAGTTGTAATCTTGCTTGTATAAATATTAAAGAGCACATTATAATTGCAGAGCCTTGTGGTCGTCTCGGGCAATAGAGTAACGGTTTGCAGTATGTCCCCTCTAGTCCGCAGATTAACACCTCAAAAATGAGAGCCCTACTTATACAAACCCAAGTAAACCCTTTTCAGCCGTTATATTGAGGCACACGAAGGTTACGAGGTAACTCGAAGTCCAGACCAGGCAGAAAGACACACATAAGGGCGTACAGCACAGCTGCTATATAGCTAGTTAGGACAATCCCTCTTCTCTATAAGGTTGGACACCAAAATATATCTAACTACGTTGTAAGCATCCTCAAGATAAAGTACTTCAACTACAGTCTTTTTTCTATTCTGGAACCCCTTATAATGAAGATCAATGCTAAAAAGACAGAAGTCATGAGCATAAGTAGAGAGCAACAGACCATCAACATAAAGATTCTAGATCACAGCCTAAAACAAGTGTAAGAATTTAAATACTTGGGAAGTATCTTTACATTCAATGGTAAAATAGAGAGATCGAAGCAAGAATCCAACAAGCCAACAATGTCGCATACCAGCTTGCCCCAATTTTAAAACACCCTGCTGTCCCAGCTGAGATAAAAAGACAAATTATAAATACAATCTTTATACCGACATTAGGTTATCAATGTCAGACTTGGACATTAACAAAAGAACACGAGAGAAGACTAACCGCCTGTGGAATGAGATGTTTGAGAATGGCTGCGAATAAAACCAGAAGAGATCGAGTGAGAAACGATGTGATTACAAGAACTATTGGAACCATACCCATCGTTAAATTTATTGAAAAGCAAAGAATGAAATGGTCACCTAATGAGAATGGAACCAACGATGCCAGCATCAAGAGCATACAACATGAAAATCGAAACACCAAGAGGCAGGGGAAGACCAAGAAGAAGATGGATTAAAGGAGTCACGGACAACTTGAGACTTCATAACATCACGTCATATGAAGCGACTGAGTGCGCCCTGGCTCGGTTGCCGGTCATCTGATAGACTGCGACGCCTAGCGGCACAAGCAGATTTTGACAAAAGAAAGAAAGAACCCCTATAAACATCAAAAGCAAAAGTGACTGCATTTGACCAGATATATATGTCCCTGGCCGGTAACTACCTATACCTCTTAGGAGAGAATCTTCCCGTTCTAAAAAAAAAAAAAAAAAAAGCCTGCAGTTTAGTAGTAATGATCTTCTGCAACACATTGACAAACCTATTTTATAGAGTGATAACCCGAAAGCTGTTGAGTCTTGAACGATCTTTGGTTTGAGAGTGGGATTAAATAGTCTTAAAGTGCTGATGCTGTTCTGATGATGAGGGTGAGTTGGGATAATGATGGAGATTTTTGTTGCTCATTCTCTGTTCACCGATAAGACAGACAAAGAAGACAAGAAGATGAAGGAGAAAGAGGGTTTAGAACAGAAGGAGAGACACGAGAAAGGCATTGTACCTTATCCATTGGTTTTGTGTAAACATTATTATCTATTTTGGAGAAAAAGAAGTTTTGGAGAAAAAAATGTCGAAAAAGAATAAGAAGGACGAGAAAGCAGACGAGGAGAAGACGATGGGAAGAGGGGAGAATGATGGGAAAGAAGAGGAAGGATTACGAAGTGGGGGAGAAAAGATTACAGATATTTCACGTGAACATTATTATCTATTTAAGATTTGATTTGATTCAAGAACCGACATCACAGCACTCGTGGCATTTAAATGTTCCGATACTGATCGTGCCAGTAGCTTTCTGATTAAACGTCCGTCTTGCCTTTCCTCTGAGCCTCGAGCATCTGCCAGAAACTCTCGTTACCCCCAACTGAATCAATCTCACCAGACTGTGGTATTATTTAAGATAAAACGTTGTAGTTGTAGAAAAAGAAGAAGATGAAAAAGAAAAAGAAGAAGAAGAAGAACGATGTGGAGGAGGAGGAGAGGACACAGGATAATTCCCATGGCTTTAGGCCTAACAAAATATCTGGCTCAGCTATAGACAAGTCACTTCCGGTCGTTCACAAAATTGCGCGCAACTTCGGCGAGTCATCATCTTTTGTGTGCTTCAACTTATTTTAACATTTCATCCAGCTGCCGTGATTTTGTATCGCCAAATCATGCAGTTGAGCAAAGGAGCGATCTTAGAAATCCTTAATGGAGCTACACCGAATAAACCAGTGTTTCAGATTGTCAGTGCCAAGAAAATGGAATCTGCAAGCTCCGCTGAACGCTACAGAATTCTGTTGTCGGACAGCGAGCATCTTTATTCCCATGTTATGTTGACTGTACAGTTGAATAAACTGATGACCAACAACGACATCACAATCAACTCTGTCGTTGAAGTCACGAAATACATGTGTAACCAGGTACAAGGCGAGAAACGAATTCTGGTCTTGTCTGACTTGAATGTTCTTGCAAAAGGTAACCTAAGTTATTGTTTTTGTAACTTCTAAATAAGTTACAATGTTCGTTGATAAGCTCTGTCAAGAGCACTATTAAGACTGAAAAGGGATTAATTAACAGCTTCTTCTGACTGAAAGAGTTAATGGATTGTATGAGTTGTTCCCGTCCCATGAATCCTTTTTTCCAAAATAAACCCTGAGACTGAGACAGATATTGTTGAGGTGAGAGGGGCCAGGCATGCTAGACTGGGTTCCATCTATGATGTTGAAAGGGGAGAAATGACATACAGGGAATGGAGGATTAGACTAGACATTTCAAACTCAGGGTCTCCTGAGGGCAGTATGGGTCATATTTATGTCATCATACGGATACAAAAAATGACAGCTACCTGGTCATTAAATAAAAATTATTACACAATATTTCCTTTGTGGGTTATCCTCCGAACTTCGGGCACAAAAGATGGCGGCCGCAAAATATCCTTTCGAGCCTCAGTCAAGTGACTTAATTTGCGGTTTTCTGGCGACTACCGCCACGAGTCCCCCACGGCACTCACACGGCGTGGATTGGGCTAAACTAGGTGGCTAGGACCCACGGACAAGAGCTTCTGCACCTCCTGCAGCTTTGCTCGTGTGTCCTAGCCATCTAGTTTAGCCCCAGTCCACGCGGCGTGGGGGACTTGTGGCGGTGGTGGTAGTCGCCGGAAAACCGCAAATTAAGTCACGTGACTGAGGCTCAAAAGGATATTTTGCGGCCGCCATCTTTTTTGCCCGAAGTTCAGAGGATAGCCCCTTTGTGCTTGCAAAAGTCTAGTTTGACATGCTTGTACTAGAAAGCAAACTCTATGTTCTGTATAACGCTAGGATGATGATTATGGGTCATGATCTTGTCATTTTTTACTTTCTTTAAATGCAGTGTCTAACATTTTCAGGTGAAGAAGTTGGTGGTAGAATTGGAAATCCTGTACAGTTGAATCCTGCTCAGTTGTCAGCTGTTGCGGCTGGGGTACCAAGCAGTCATTCTGACCAGGCTGCTGTGAAACAAACCTCAACTGTTGGTACATTACGACCTGTTACTGGTGGTAATACTATGACTAATGCCAGCAGACCTGTAGTGCAGGTAATAGGTTTTTTGCTCTCTCTTCATTTCAGTAGACATTGTTTAGTGCAACCCATTAGACATTGTTTTGTTTAACTTATTAGAGTGGCACGGTGATATCGATCACAGGCATGAGAGAAAGTTAAGGTCGTTGTTATGTATAAAATGAGTTACTCATTACCTCACCTCAGGCGCCAGCTGGCTCTGGGATGGTTTTACCGATCCTCATACAAGACTCCTGCCGCACATCCTCGTCGTGTGCAACGGATGAGCGCTCACCCCTATAATGAGTTAGCAGAGGATTTTGGAGTTTTGGGATGGAGTGTTCAGTCTCGCTCGCATAAGCCCACTCCCAATGCACGAATAAAAACGTCTGTCAAAACTCATTTGGTACATGGGTAAAATATGCTAACCGAACCTACTACTAAATGACAACCCGGGGTTAGAACATCTGTCGAGTGGGAACTACGGTACTGCTGAGATTCGGCTCTGGAGCAAAATATTTGCTCGCAGCCTAGATGAGCAATGTGTCTAGCCGGCGGTAACTCGTTGAACAGTCCTGTCTCCAAACATCCTTTGCTGTTCCTCAACATCGTCAACATGTTGAGATACACCACAACAGCCTGCTACTATCATTTTGCAAGCTTGGCATAAATGTCCATCAGATACATGCCTTACGGCACAGAAACAAAGCTCTCAATGTCTGGCCTACTAATTGGCAGAAAGGTTCACATGCCCTTTAGTATTGGCCTACTTGCCTAATGTATGGGACTTAATAGGAGGAGGGTGCATTCTTTGTCATACTGTCTTGCTATGTTTCCAGATGAAATAACATTAAAGGTATCTAAAGTATCGAAGAACGATGCATCTATTTGTTCGGCCATCAAAGTCCAGAACATGCGGGCTGATCTCTGTAGGCTCAGCCTGTGATAATTGCAAAGCTCAACATATGGATGTGAGGTTTAGCAGTCATGAGCAAGACGTGAGATTCCTTGGGTGAGCCCAGGAACAGAGCGTCATGTGTCAGCTCTGCATTTATAGAAGCCTCCTTGGATGGTGGAGGATGCCCATAAACTGTCCCTGCCTTGAGGGCTGACCTGTCTACATGCTGATGCCCTGGACGAGGTCTCCAGGAGCAACACCTGTAGATAAGGAGAGAACAACACAGATAAGGCCACAACATGTCCCTGTCCCACGAAACTGTCCGGGAAGTTAACTCGGTCAGCAAATGCTCGATGAAGTCGGATGTATCGGTTAAAAGATAACGCAAATATCGCAGCTCTGCTGTGAACAGGCACAACACATTTATGCCACTCGGTCAAACGAAAAGAAGCAGAAGTAAGATTCCACTAATTAAAGATGTTTCCTTCGAAGTCAGAGTGCCTCTGCTTGAGAGGCAAGGAACAAAAGTCTGCACACAAATAAGCCATATTTGTAAAATGGATGTGCACGCAAAACTTGACATGAACAAGACTAAAAGTCTAGATGTGGATGAACAACCCCAACATTCCTCCACAATTTACAACTGGTGAACAGGAAACAGAAGAAGAGTACACACTTCTGGTACCATCCACGCACTGTTAAACTGCTGCAGATAATGTTGGCATTGGAACACTGTTGGCTGTGAACATGAGAGTGTCCTGAGTGCTGTCATTTTAGTTTTTGACTCGAATCAGTTCAGCTTATACCTCACAAATTGATCTCAGTCCAGGCAAAGCATTTGGCTTTTTTATAGAGCATTTGAACTTTTGTAATCAACAGCAAATGCTAACATTTCTGTTTAGTGAAAGATAAAATAGATAATCCTTTTCAAAGTAAAAGTAAGTGACCCTCTTTGGGTGAGTAGTGCATTGAGCATAGGATTCTAGATTTATATTTTCATCGAACAGTTGTCACTCTATGGCTGTGGTCAGAATCATGCTGGCCACTTTTACTTTCCAGGGCATTACCTTGTACCCACTTGAGGCTGGGAACAAAGTTTTTTTTTTTGGGTCCATTTATTTCTAATAAATAATGTTTTGAAATTCATACCCAGTAACAAGTTCTTTGCAATGTTATTTTTTCATGTTATTTGTCCGTCTCCTTAATCGTATACATGATGACTATATTTGTCTCTATTATTAATGGTTTTTGTTTTGTAGTTAATTTAAAATAAAAATTTGTTTACATTTTCAGAATCAGGGTGGTCTAAACAACAATGCATTTAAAGCCAATGAAAGCCGCACTACTCCATCAACTCCTTCGAGAGTTCATGAAATAGCTACCCTAACACCCTATCAGAACCGCTGGCGAATTAGAGCGAGGGTCACTATGAAATCTAACATCCGAAACTGGAGCAACTCTCGTGGTGATGGGCGGTTATTTAACGTCAATCTCTTGGATAGCAGTGGCGAAATACGCCTCACCGGTTTCAACAGTGAGGTGGATAAATACTATTCTTTGCTGGAAGTAAATAAGGTTTACTACATCTCCAAGTGCACCCTGAAGACGGCCGACAAGAGGTACTCTACGTTAAATTGTGATTATGAGATGACCATGACCCCAGAAACAATCATCGAACCTTGTAATGACGACGACGTTGACCTGCCAATGATGACCTTTGATTTTGTAAAAATTTCGGATTTGGAAAAATGCAAGAATGGTAGTAGTGCAGATGTTATTGGTGTGGTGAAAGTCGCTAATGATGTTGGAACAGTCATTGGGAAGCAGTCACAGAAAGAAATTACCAAACGTGACCTTCAAATTGTGGATCAGTCAGGAGTTGCTGTAAAACTAACTCTGTGGGGAGACGATGCTGTCAATTTCAATGGTCAGGGCTATCCTGTTGTGGCCGTCAAGGGTGCTAAAGTTTCAGATTTTGGTGGCCGATCTTTGTCCGTATCTGGCGGCAGTCAGATGTTGATAAATCCTGATTTAAAAGAAGCACACATCCTTCGAGGCTGGTTTGAGAATGAAGGCAGAGACCAAACCTTCAACATGTTCCAGAGTGATGGTTCTATGGGAAGTGGACAGTCAACAAACTGGAAAAATTTCCTGCAGGTAAAGAAAATATATATTTTGTTCCATTCTCTTTTTATTCATGACTTATTTTTCTTTTCTTCTTCTTCTTCTTTGTGTTAACCAGCTGTAAACTCTGGTGGAAAGTTCTGGTTGTTCGTCCATTTGTGAAAGGCGGCCCTGTTCCAGAACCTGATTGTTTTGTGTGTGCACCCGTTTGACAAATCTGAAAAATTTGTGTGCAGACTGTTGGTTCCTTGTCTCTCAGGCAGATGCACTCTGACTTTGTAGGAAGCTCCCACTTAGTCGACTCTTATGCATGCTTTTAGGTAGGCAGTGGGTCTATTCTTGTTTTCCCTATAATAGGACCCCGAAACCCATACAGGGAGATTTTTCTTTTCAAATAGTAAACTATTTAAAATTTAGCAGTGAACTGTATACAAAAGATGTAGAGCACAAGGTAGACTAAAATCAGGATGGAAAGATAACGTCAGAGAAACTACAACAGCACAGTGTGTCTGTGGTCGAGGCGGCCAGAAGAGCAAGAAACAGAAGTTTTTGTATCTCCCTCGACACCTGAAGTGGCAGAAGAAGAAGACCAGGGAGCCAGAGTCTCTTTTGAATGGGGAAAAACAGCTCCATCAGGATTTGAACCCACAGCCTTCAGATCCACAGGCGAGCATCTGGCCGCTACACCATGGGAGCTCCCCTAAAACTAGTCTTTAATTAGTTTGTCAGAAACCATCTTTTTTGCTTACTGTTCTTTCTTAACTTCTGTGATATTCGATGGTGGCTAGTCATATAATACTGCTTAAAAGTCAGTTATTTATTACAGTCTTGTGGTCCTTTTTTTTTTAAATAAACTTAAACTTGCTGATAGTGTGACTGATGTATTTATCGTCAAACTTCTTTAATTCAACCTTGGTGAGTTGGGGAAATGTTTTAAAAATAGTAGGTGGGGCACACACAGATAATAAACAGTTTTATAGAAATCAATTATCAGCTAAAGAGGAGTGAAGAAATTAGAGAAATATCTGTGCAGTCACTGTTAAAATCAGTTATAAGACAAAGAAGATGGTGCTATATTGAAGACATCCTGAGAAAAAAACAGGCTAATAATCACCAAGCAGGCAGTAAAATTGGAAACAAAAGGGTTGAGGAGGTGAAGACATCCAAAAGAAACCCTAAAATAAATGTTGATGAGAGAGGCCAAAGCTTTTGGACTGAATTCCATCCATCATATCGAAAGGATTGCACAGGATTGAACCCAATGGAGAAAATGACTGTGAATGGCACAACAGGACAGTGATGATGATTATATAAATCAGTATTAGTTTGTGTGTTATCTAAATCCTCTTTCTGTCGCCGTTGACACATAAGGCATTCACAAATTCTCCATTTCTTCTGGTCTGCTAATGTTTTGCATGTGGTATCCAGTGTTGTTTTACACTCCTTCATTTCTCTTTCTGCTGTCCCATCTCCAAGTTTCCTTAGGTCATCCACGTGTCCAGTTTTCATCTGCTAACCACCCTTACCATAGATGTCACAAGGCGTTCTGCAAACATGTCCAAGCTGACCATCTTCTTCCTTATATAACATTTACCTTACTTACTTACTTACTTACTTAGTCGCTCCTCTTCTACCTTGGGGTGTAGAGGTTTGCCAGAGAGATCGCCAGATGTCTCTATCAGCAGTTTTCTTTCTGGCTTTGTTCCATTCCAGTCCTCTGTCAGTTAGGGACTGTCGGATGTTGTCTTCCCAGCGCACCCTGGGTCATCCCGGAGGTCTGGTTCCCTGGTTCTTAGCCTCCCATGCTTGCCATGGAGGCCGATTTTCTCCCATTCTGCATACATGTCCAAACCATCGTAACTGTGACTGATCTACTCGAGTTAGTAAGGGCTGGGTATCAAGATCTTGACGTATTGTCTGATTGCGGACTTTGTCCCTTCTTGTCACTTGGACCACCTTTCTCAGGTATCTCATTTCCGAGGCCTGCAGCTGGCTTCTGTGAGCTGTTGTCATTGCTTATGACTCACACCCATAGGTCAGGACTGGTACATAGGTAGAGCGGTAAACAGTCATTTTCGTCCTCTTGCCAATTTCTCTTTTGCTAAGAAACCCTCGGTTTATGGCCTGGAAGTCTCCCAGCAGCTGCTTTTCGTGTAGTTAGCTCAGTCTTAATGCCTCCATTTTGGTCTAATACAACTCCAAGGTATTTGAACTGGTTAACCTGCTCCAGCGCATACTGTCCCATCATGATCTGGTGTTTCTTCTTCTCTCTTGAGATCACCATGGTTTTAGTTTTGGAGACACTGATGGTCATCCCTTTCTTTTCAAGCTCTTCCTTCCAGACAAGTAAGTTGGACTGAAGGTGTGCCTCTGATTTAGCTATCAGGGCCACATCGTCTGCAAAAGCCAGCTCTGATATACAGATTGGTCTCATCTTCCAGTACCCTACAGAGTACTTCTTTGTCTTCTCCTTACAGGTCTTGATGACATCATCCATCATAAGAATGAAGAGGTAAGGTGAGAGAATATCACCTTGTCTAACACCGCTGGCAGTCTTGAATTCTTCTGACTTTTGGTCTGCTGTTCTTACATAATTTCTGCACTTTTTGTAGAAACTCTGTATTGCACTGATCAGGGGTGCTGGGATGTTTTTCCCTGCCAAGCAGTCCCAGAGCTTGTTCCAGGGTACCTTGTCAAATGCCTTTTCCAGATCCAAAAAACATAAGTGCATCTCACTCTTATATTCCAGGGCTTTTTCACTCATCTGTCTCAGTGTGAAGATAAGGTCTTGAGTACTTCGGTTTGCTCTGAAGCCGCATTGGGCCTCGTCCAGCTGTGGCTCTACCAGACTTCTAAGTCTCTGCTCAAGAATTCTAGAGTAACTTTTACCGGGAACGCTGAGGAGGGATATGCCTCTGTGGTTTTCACATTGTCTGTTATCACCTTTTTTAAATATAGGTATAATGATGGCAATCTCCCAATCTTTTGGTATAGTTTTGCTACACCAGGCTGCCTGGAGAACCTTCAGTAGAAGGCGCTCACCATCGACTCCCATATATTTGACCATCTCTGGTGTTATACCATCATGACCTGCTGCTTTTCCCAGCTTAATCTTCTCAATAGCTGCCTTCAATTCTTCCATCCTGATGTTATCTTCCCCATGATTGAATTCCTTCTCAGCAGTGAGGTCCATTATTTCTGGGTCATGACTTCCCTCAACGCCGAGGAGCTCTGAGAAGTATTCTTTCCATCTGCCCATGATATCATTTGTAGAAGTAAGCAGAGCCCCTTCCTTGTCTTTTATGAATTTAAGTGGGCACTCTTTCTCCTTCCTCATGTTCTTAAGGGTCTTGTAGAACAGTTTTTGGTTTTCTCTTGCATTCTTTTCCAACTTTTCTCCAAACTCTTCCCATGATTTCTGTTTTGCTTTAAGCACAATATTTTTGGTCTCTGTTCTGAGTGCCACATATTGTTTATATTTTTCTATTTCTTCAGCTGTGTTCTTGGCTGCCAGGTATTGCTTCCATGCCCTTTTCTTTTCTCCTATTTTCAATTTGACTTCTTCTGTCCACCAAGGTGTCCCGCCTTCCACTTGGGACTTCACCACATGCTTCTACTGCAGCTGCAGTGAGGATATTCTTGAATCTGCACCAGAGGGTTTCAGTGTCCTCTGATGATTCTTCTTCAATTCCTATTGCTTTCACTATAAGCTTCTGGTATCTAGCCTTAATATCTGGCTCTCTTAGCTTGTATGCTTTAATTCTCATCCCTTCTTGGTTGCTTGGTTTCTTGCATGGTTGTCGGTGTTGCCTTGTTGGAGCAGTTCTTTCAGTTATTCTCTTTATTGTGACCAGATAGTGGTCACTTCCAATCTCTGGTCCTCTCATGACTCTGGCATCTCTCACAAACTTGAATGAACTTTTCCTAACTATGGCGTAGTCAATGATGGATTTTTCCTTCTTTGAAGGTTCACATCTTGTGTATGCATGTATACGCTTGTGGGGGAATTTTGTGTTTGTAATGACAAGGTTCTGTTCCCTGCAGAATCTGAGAAGTCGCTTGCCATTATCATTCAAAACATCTTCACCATATCTCCCGATCACTCCACCCCATCTAGAGTGATCATTTCCTACTCTGGCATTTAGATCTCCTAGGAAGATAATTTCATCGTGACAGTCATCTATGGTCCTTTGGAGCAGTTCAAAGAATTCTTCTTTAACATCTACTCGCTCATCTTCATTTGGCCCGTACACAATGACAAAAATTGACAATTTTATCTTCTTCTTTCAGATCTAACACCATTATTCGCTCTGAGATGAATTTCCATCCCTTGATGTTACTAACTTGATTCCTGGCCACAATACAGCCAACACCTCCCTTGGCTCTCTCCGTCATAGGGACACCACTGTAGAGCAGCATACTTCCATCGTGATCTGTGATTCCTTGCCCCTTTTTCTTGGTTTCAGTCAGAGCCAAGACTCCTAATTTTGCTTTCCTCATCTCCCCTACTAACTCGTTTTCCTTTCCATTAATGCCTCTTATATTCCATGTTCCATAAATCGTAGTCCGTAAGCCATGCCAGTTCGTCGCCGTTAAGATCCGTCCGGTTTTCTCTCTGTAGTTACTTGTAATCGTGGTTTAAGGCAAACAGGTGATTGGCCTGTTGTGCCTTTGCATGGTGGAGGGGCTGCCTCCTTGCGGCCTCCATGCGAGCCGTCTGGCTGATTCACGGTTACCCACTACTTCCGGAGACGCATGAAGCACTCAGGTTCAGCCAGACCCTCCTCCTTTTACAGCCGGGCTTGGGACCGGTCTTAGCGGAGTTTATAACATTTACCAGTGAAGCATATTTTTTTCTTTCCTGAATTCTTCATTTATGATCTTTGACCAATATATTTGCAGGATTCTCCTTAGATATTTGTTTATAGTCTTTAGCTTTTGTGTGATTCCGGACCTGTCATTTTGTAACACTTGTTTTAAGATAGTATTCCTGAAACGTTGCTCTTGCTTTGTCTTCCATAATACATTCTACATGAGTATCGAGGACAGTTGGCTAATAAAGAGCATACTGTCCTGAAAGCTGAGGTACTTGGTGTTAAATGTCGTGGTGACCTGAAGAGAATGTTGATGGGGGTATAGTTTCCGGAGAAGGAGGCAGACCTCAGCGAAAGTGGAAACAAGACATCGAAGATGCATTGGCTGTGAAAGCACATTGGGCTGAAGAATTGGCTAGAGAAAGAGAGACTTTTATTTGTACCGTGGCGAGAGCGACATTCTGTAAAGGACTTGGTGAAGAATGATCTTAATGAACAAACTATAATAAATCAGTATTTTTTAATACGTTGGTGTTAGTTACCAAAAGAGTGCTTCTTACAAAAATGAAACATTTAGCCATTAAATACCAGTGATATCGCTGGCTAAAAAATTGCACTGTAGGGGGTACCTGAAAATTACATTATTAGACATCTTACACATGAAAAACATGCTTGCATTCAACATTATGTCTATAGTGTCAGGTAACCGGTTATTTTAAAAGGCAAAGCTATGTTGAGAAACAACTCACTGCCAGGTCTGTGAAAACACATGTGTATGCACAACTCAAGTTCTAGAACAAGACTAGAGTCTAGAAGTGGATGAGCAAACAGAATGTTTCTGCTGGAGTTGATGAATGTGAAGACAATGACGATACACACATCGTCATCCTTTTGTGCCATTATACATCATACAGGACTCGCCGTTTATTCTTTGTCTTGTAACAGCTTATACCTGCAATTGTCCAGGTATTTCTCTTATTCGTTGCCTTTCTTGAGTTCATCACATCTAATGTTTAACAAATACACACATATTAGATACATATAAAATTGGGTCATAATTTGTTTCCTCAGGTGAAGACAGAAAACTTGGGTCAAGGTGAGAAAGCAGACTACTTCACAGCTAAAGCAACAATCATATTTGTGAGGAAAGAAAACTGCATGTACCAGGCATGCCCAACTGCCGACTGCAACAAGAAAGTTGTTGATCAAGGAAATGGGCTCTACCGCTGCGAGAAGTGCAACCGAGAGTTCCCCAACTACAAGTGGAGGATGATCTTGAGTGTCAACCTCGCCGACCACACCGACAACCAGTGGGTCACATGCTTCCAGGAATCTGCTGAATCCATGCTGGGTATCAAAGCTGATGAACTCGGAGCCCTGCGGGAAACTGATGAAGTGCAGTTTGAGAAGGTCATAAATGATGCTCAGTTCAAGCAGTATGTGTTTCGTCTGCGAGCTAAGGTGGAGACCTACAATGACGAAAACAGGCTCAAGACTGTTTGTGTTGGGGCTACACCTGTCGACTGGAAAGAGACTGGCTATCGCCTTATTGAGCAGCTTTCTCAGATGGGAATCTAAACTGAAGCCAGCCAGATGCATCTTTAGGCATACTACTGTGCTGATATTATCATGGAGGTTGCAGGATAATTTCCTTGATGAAATATTGTTTTTGTAAGTTGTTTATCATAGAGTTCTATATTGTTATTTTGTTTACCAGAGTTCAATATTGTTTATTCTGTTTACCTAGAGTTTAATACTGTTTAACAGTTTACCATAGAATTCAGTATTTAGTCTAAGTTTATTATTGTTAGTCTATGCATTCAGTGTGGGTAGACTTTACTTTAGGGTTCAATATTGTGTGTCTGTTTACTATAGAAATGAATACTGTTAGCCTATTTACCATAGGGTTTAATATTATTAGCATGTTTACCACAGAGATAACTTTGGTAATCTTTTTTTTCCTATGACTACACTATTTGTTATACAAACAAAACAGTGTTCAAACATAAAATATCTCAGTCCATTATTAAATTTTTATGAAAGAGTTTATTTATGATAGAATTCAGTGTTGTTAGATTTTACCATAGAACTTAATATTGTTTGTCTGTTTATCATAGAAATGAATGCTGTTCAACATAGAATTCAATTTTGTTAAAATGTTTACTGTAATTCCATGGTATTAGTGTTTGCTACAGAATTATAGTTGGTTTGTTTACCATAGAGTTCGGTATTGTTACTCTGTAAGATTACTATTGTTATACCTGTATTATTAGTCTAGAGTTCTGTTCGCCATTGAAATCAATATTATTAGTCTGTTTAAAGTGTAAACAGCAAACTTTTATGTACTTGAAATTATTGCGTGGCTTGAAAGAAGCCAATTGAAACATTTTTGGTTTAAAATTTTTATTTAGAACATTGCAACTGTTGTTAATTGTCAGAAGGTAAGGTGTGTTTTTTTCTTAAGTATGGTGCATTCTGAATACATCATCAGGAAATTTAAACAAGAATATCTGGGATAGACTCTTTTTTTCCTTATGGTTTTGGGGTACGGTGGGTTGAGGTTTTTGAGCCGGGGCTTATTATAATGTGCGGTTCTGCGGAATAGAGGTAGATTAAATAAGTTTACAATGCAGTCCTCGTCGATTGTCAGGGTTTGATTCCTAGGGAAAAAAGGGGGGGGGGGAGTAGAAAAGGACCATTCATTAGGCTATCACACAGTGGTACGAGCATCGCACCATGGAGGAGAGTAGGGCCTAACCTTGTAATATCCCAGCAGTTGTCAGTGGAAAGGACGCAGCCAAGCTCCACTGTGGGGACGTCACCATTTAAAAAAAAAAAAATGTTAGAATAGGACCTCATTGAGATTCTCGGGTTTCTTTTTTGTCAACATTTATGTGTGTTGTTAAATTGGCTTGGTGGTTTATGGATGTTCATGGCTTCAGTCTTAGTTATGTCAATATTCTTTCTTTCCGTTTTTGTTTTGTGTGTGTGTTTTTTTTTTTGCACTCTGTAAATGCTTGTGATAAGTATAATCACATTCTGTTACTGGTCTCAATTTCTGTAAAGAGCAGCATCGTCAAGTGCCTCCCTATAAGTCCTTATCTCCTGTAATGTGTGGCTATTTAAATAACTCAATGCCATTTTAGGCTTTCCTTATGTGCCATCTTCTCTCTTTTCTTCCTCAGAATTTTCTCCATTAAACTTAGCAGTTGAAACTATTATTTTTATTTTATACAGCCAAAAACTCTGACACCTCACTTTTGGTGATGAAATACACAGTTTCTAAAAACTAGATATGAACACATGTTCATAGATAACACATTTGAAGCCTATTATTATTCTGTTTTTCTTATCTTCTTCTTCTTCAGCATTCTGAGCCCTTTAGGTTCATTGCTGCAGATATTACTCGCCTCCATTCATCACTCTGGTTGGCCTTCTCTTTCCAGTTGGTGACACCAGATGTTTGCAGGTCTGCCTGGACATTATCTATCAATAATTTTCTTGGTCTGCCTCGTGATCTACGACAATTCATCTCCCTTGTGTATACAGTTTTTACTTCTGTCATCTGATATTCTTTCAATATGCCCCAACCATTTCAGTCTATTAGCTTTCTCCATTCCCCGCCGTTTGCATCTTTGATGGGTCCAAAGGTTCGCCATAAGACTTTTTAAAACCTGTAATAAGGCTTCATCTCTTTTAGTTGTGCTTCAAGTTTTCAGAGCTATAGAAAACAACTGATATATATATATATATATTGATCTTGGTTGTTGCGAGACAGACACTTTGACTTTAGCAGATGTTGAAGGGCATAGTATACTTTATTTCCAGATTGTATTCTAAATTGCATTTCTTGTCTCAGCTTGTTTGAGCAGTTGAAGTTTGCACCGAAGTACTTATATGTTTCCGTTCGTTTGATTTTCATATTATCGACTTGTATGTGGCCGGAGTTAATATCCTTTCCCTGTCTAGTTATTTTGCTGATAGATGAGAATAATTGAATACGTTTATTTTCAGTTTTATTCCAGGGTCAGTACTAAGGTATAAGTAGAAAAATTTATTATAGTTTTTTTGTTTTTTGTTTGTTGGCACCATTAACTCTTCAAGCACGTGGTGCTGGATCTATATATTTTTTTCTTTTCATCTGTGCCTGTTTGCAACAAAGCTTTAATATTTGTGTCTTTAGGCAGACACATCCAGCTTTCATCGAGTATTTGTTGATATGGTTTACTTCCCAGGGATCCATTTTATTTTATAGACCAACTGACAGTTGGTGGGTAATGTGGTCAGCATCATGCCAACCACACATTGACTCTCTAGGACATTTCCTGGTACCTGTTTTAAATTGGGTCGACCTGGGAGTGTGGATCATCTATAAAAACCCACCTTGATGCTGATTCTTCTTCTTCTTTGTGTTTGCCAGCTATAAACCTAGTGAATTCTGGTTTTTCGTCCAGCTCTAAACTTTAACCTTGACGTTTGCACATCTGTTTTGCAGATCTGGCTTATTTGTGTGCAGGCTGTTGGTTCCTTGTCTCTGAGGCAGACACTGTCTCACTTTAAAGGAAGCTCCTAATTAGCCCACTCATACGACATGCTTGGAGGCACTGTGTCTTTTCTTGTTTTTCCTACAGTGGGGCCACAGAATCCACACAAGGATGATGCTGATTCAAATCCAAGACTATTGGGCCAGCAGTCTCTGCTCTGTCAAGGCTCCTGATACTGAGATATACATTATCTATGTATATTAAAAGCAAGCTAAATAAATATACGAGTCGCTGTTGCTGTTCTTCAGTCTTTTATGGGCCTCTGTAGCACATGAGGAAAGTATTTAGTCAGTTTGTAACACTCAAGAGAGTGTTTAATGCTTTATTTTCTTATTTAATGTGTTAGCCTAGAGGTTTCTAGGTTTATTTTTGTTTTGCTTGAACTGATGTTCAGTGATGAGTTGATTCAGATGTTGCTTGATTATATTTTTTGATTGTACTGTAATTTTATATTAACATGTTTTGTAAATTTTGCCAGTGTTTGAATTTGAAAATACAAAATGTAGCATTAAAATTACATGCATTGGTTTCCAATAAGTCACTGTTTAGTTTTTCATTTGTTATTTTCTTTTTTCTTCTGAGTGTTCACACCAGCTGTAAATTTCAGCAGAAAGTTCTGGCTGTTTGTCCACTGCTGGACTGCAGTCCTGTTCCAGAACGTGAGTTAACGTGTGCATCCATTTGATGGATCTGACTAATTTGTATGCAGACTGTTATTTCCTTGCCTGTCAGCCAGATGCACTCCAACTTTGAAGGAAGCTCCCAATTAGTTGACTCTTATGACATACTTTTGGGTAGGCAGTGGGTCTTTTCTTGTTTCCCCTAAAACAGGGCCCCAAAACCCACAGGAGGATCATTTGTTGATTTGATAGAAACGAACACATTGGCCAACAGCATAAGTTGTGAAACTGTGGTCTAGTGGTCAGTGAACATAACAAAGTTCAGTTTCCATGGCATGTGTTTTAGAAAAAGATTTTTTGTGGCTTTCATGCGGTTGTATGAGAGACACACAATTTTAAAAAAGCAAAAATAATATAATTACGTAAAGATCTATTACCATTGTATAAGATGCACAAGTTTTAGACCCTAAATTTTTGGAAAAATAGTGTCTTATACTAATGGGAAATGTGGTAATTTGTAGGGAAAATCTGATTATATTTCTTCTTCTTTGTTCACCGGCTGTGAATGTGGCGGAAAGTCCTGGCTGTTCATCCATTTGGACTTTAGCTTTATGCTAGGGAGCCTGAGTTTTGCGTGTGCATCCGTTTTACTGGCGCATTTGTGTGTAGCTGGTTGTTCCTTGCCGCTTGGGCAGATGTACTCTGACTTCAAAGGAAGCTCCCAGTTAGTCGACTCTTACTTCATGCTTGTTGGGAAGGCAGTGGGTTTGTTCTTGTTTTCCCCACAATGGGGTCCCGGAACTCACACAGGGAATCTGATTATGTGAGTCACTCTGAAAAAAAAAAAACAGAATACACTAAAAAAAAAATTCTGTCGCTGTTGCCAGTTGAAGAAAAATAGGCACAGCTTCTGTTTCAACACTGACAGTATGCCGAGAGTACATACAGAAGCAGTATGTCTTGGGGCAGGGTTATTCTAAAAAGTTTACTTGTGGGCCAAAATGTTAAAATTGGGGATTGTCACGAATCATCATAAGTTTGTAATTAAATAGCTTTAAAATTTAATTTTGAAAAAATATTTTTAATAATGCGGATACAAACAATACATTGCACAGTTTATTGCCAGGCTTATTTCACATATATAAATTGTGCAATGTATTGTTTGTATCCGCATTATTTAAATTCATTATGGGAAGACATTGTTTTGAAAAATATTTTAGTTTAAAAAAAAAAGATAAATGATAGATTGTAGTCAGTTACTTCACATGGTGCTGGAAATGTATTTTTTTAGTGACAGTACATTTTATTGCAGACATGCTTCTGTTTTGAATTACTAAATATACATGAGTGTAAATAAAGCATTGAAATAACTTAGTTTCCTTTTTATTGTGTTTTAATTATTCTCTCTCTCTCTCTCTCTCTCTCTCTCCCCCTCTCTCTCTCTCTCTCTCTCTCTCTCTCTCTCTCTCTCTCTCTCTCTCTCTCTCTCTCTCTCTCTCTCTCTCTCTCTAACTCACGCATGCACACATGGGGAGTTTGCTCCATCCAGTGGCCATATTTTCAAATCCATAAGAGGCACAGATGTTTTTAAAAGCTGCTAATAACCCCTGTTCAGGCAAATTGATACCCGGCTCGCTAGCGTAGTTGGTTAAACCTGACTCCGCGGCCACTGAATGATGAACTCCTTGTGGTCTGGGGGTAGGCAGATATTTTCTCCCAGATTGACGGTATCTATCATGGAAACAAGGCCGAAGGGTTGAGATATCTATAGTACCAAGCCAAGGGATTAACAACTCATGGTTTCTGTATATTTAAAAAAAAAGGCAAGTTGGTACGTTTAAATACTTGGGTACCCTGATAACATCAAAAGGAAGATGTGTTAAAGCAGTTTAATGTAGAATAGCTCAAGCGAAGGCAACGATGTACAAATTGAAAAATGTTCTATGCAATCTTTGTCAATTGAGACGGGAAAGAGAATTCTTAAAAGTTATATAAATCCTGTCCTGATATATGGATGAGAATCATGGACAGAAGGAAGATTAGTGAAATATTATGAGCAAGTGGTGGAGATACGGTTTTTATAGACAAATGATTAGAATACCCTGGACAGACAGAAAGGGTAATGAAGATGGCTTGAAAGAAACCGATTCATGAAAATAACTGATTGCCCACATCACAAGGAGACAATCTACATTCTTTGGTCATGTCATAAGAAGGAGAAAACTAGTGTACATCATA